CACTGCCAGGGATGGGGAATGCTACTCTGCAAAACATGTTTTTGCAGAAAGCTCTCACAACATCCCATGCCATATAGATGCCTCTCCCCCATGCATGTGGAATACAGTTTGGGGGGAAAACCAGAGCTAAACACAATTCCCATTTTACAAAAAATACATTATCTATAGAAAAGTGTATTGTGATGTGTCAATCTCATGCTGTTGAATTCCCTCCCTGTAATTTACACTCATAAGAAACTCTATTTTCAACGCAGCTCAGGGTATTTTGATAGTCATCCAAACTCTTACCTTTCTTCTCCTACACTGAGGTTGGTTACTGGGTTTTCTACTTCTTCAAAAGGGACACCATGTTACCAAACAGGATCCTGATGGAATTTGTGTGTGTGTGTGTGTACAAAGGGCAGCAATAAGTCTTCCCAACATCTCACCAGGCCAAAGGCAGCACAAGGACTTTCTTTAAAGTACATCTTGTGCTACTAACTCAGAGTTCCACTCTTGCAGTCTTTAGCTATCATCAGTTGGACCTCTATATGCCAATTTATATGCCAAGGAACCACAGAAGAGCTTGCAGAGCAGAGTTCTTAAGCTGTTCATGTATAACCTGAAGTTACATACGCATGGTATCTCATCCTAACTTTTGACTAGTCCCAAAAGGAAGAGCAATAATTTAAATTTTGTAGCCCATGAAGAGAAAGCCCTTTATCCCAACAGACGAGAGCTAGGTCACAAAGCTTCCTTTATACCCTTGTTAACTGAAATCTCTGAAGTGAAATGGCATAACATCTATTTTTATCCCTGGGAAATGACTGAGAGGAAGAAAGGAAGAAACAAAGAGGAAAGAGAGATTAGATAAATCGCATCTAGTTGTGCACTACAAAATCCACCTCTCAAAAAAATCTGTTTTCTTCTTCTCCAGTCTGGTAAATTTCCAGAAAGCGTATCTTTATCTACACCCATGTAACTATATGTTGGACCGTGGGTTCTCTTCCCTCAGTGCTTTTCATACATGTCTGTCTGTTCTGCTTTCTACCAAAGCTGTAGAACCCACACAAAGTTAGCATGCAGAAATTAAGATACAATTTAAAATTATTTATTCAAAAACACCAGTACAGACACAGGAAGATAACCTGAAAGTAACAGTGCCTCCAACACAGAATCCCAGCAAAAGCATGGAAAAAGAGCTTTCTGAGAAGCCTGGTGTTAAGTTTTCCTATTTTCACAGTGCAGGGCATATACCTGTTGAAAATCAGACCCCAGGGAAGTATCCCAAAGCTGAAAACGCAAACTGAAAGGGAAGGGAGAGTACCTGTGTCTAGAACAGTAGTGACCAAAGCAATCCAAAACGTTCTGGCAGTGTCTAGGGAGGGAACTGAGCAGCAGGGCAGGTCCCAAGTCTAAGCCTCGTGAATCCCAGGCTGCACTAGGTCAGTGGAAGCTGGGAGGTCAACCTCCTGCCTGACTGCACTCACTGCAGCTTGCTGCTTAAACCAAGGAACTGGTAGTCATGACACCCAGCTTTTCTTCTCCAGTCTGGAGACACAACAGGGAGTTCAGAACCCCATGCTGGAGGTGAAGAGTCGCTGGCCCTGGGCTGTACAGAGGGAGGAAGAGCTTATCAAATCATCAGAGCACAGCAGAGCCTGGACTGTAGGTTCTAATTGCAGGTCTACCAGATAACATCTTGTGTGGCCATCAGGCCGTTCTCTATCTCAATTTACTCCCCGAAGGAGCAGATAAAATACAACCCTTTGTCCCAGGGTCACACACTGGCTGTTTAATGTATGTAAATGAGTCTAATAGTCTCAGGCAAACCAAGCAGGAAAGGCAAAGTACTGCTGCTGGTGGTACTGCTGTAGCTGCAGGCCTGGCAGTGTGTGATGGCACTGGGGCAGCGGATCTGAATGCTGAGCACTCAGAAGCTCCTTTAAATGCAAAAGCAAAGTGCTGTGAAAGGACTGTATTCCTCCTCACTCCTCCTGCCACAGCCCAGGCTTCCATGCACCCTTCAATCCTAGCACAGCAACACCGTGTACATGTGCCAAAGTGTAGGCACGCCTGGCCTCTCCTTCTCAGAAACGAATCTAACAAATCCTCCCAGACAGCATTAGAGAGGAGACACCACCAGATCAAACCAGGCACCTGAAGTGACCCCTCTTCTGCTTCAGAGACAGTTACAAAGAGCTTCGTGCAGGAGCGGGAAGACAGAAAAGCCACAGAAAGAGAATGCTCTCCTGCCAACAGGTCACTTTGGCTGATCACAGGCAGGTACTTCTCCAACACACTCTGACCTAAAGAGCCAGCCCTTTGAAAGCAATGCTAAGAGTCAACCAGCCACCCTACTCCAAGGAAGTGGCACCACAAATGTAAGAGAGGACACATTTCACTGAGCAGTACAGCCTCTTCTGTACATCAGACCTGAGAAGCTACCCTATAGCAAAACACAGTCCACCAAATGTTCAGACACAGCAGAAGTTATCCCTTATTCACAGTCAGCTGGATGGCCCCAGGCAGGAAAATAAATACCTACAGTGTGTTTATTCCTGCACCGCCCAGCCCAGCTCCTTTGCCTAAGTGCAGTGTTTAAGAAATACTGCGTGAGGGACTGAGGTACACGCTGAAGTTCTGTGCCTGCTGAAGCATATGCTCCTGACTCAGGGAGTAAAACTATAATCTATCTGGAAAACTATATGCCAGGATCAAAATAAACTCTAGGAAAAAAAAAACCCAAAACCAACACCTTTTGAACTCATCTATGTGAGTAAAAGTGAACAGACTGCACTAAGATTTACCAAGAGTTTTGATTTATTCATTTTGTTTCCCGAGTATCTCCACAGTCTTAATGGAAAGTAGCAAAGGGCATTCTGAAGATCTTAAACACTCTTTATCCTGTAGGAGCAACCCAAAATAGCATCTTGTGATGTACTTGTGAAATTCTAAAGAAGCTGCACAAAAGCCTAAAGCCACAGGCAGTGGAAAACGGAGCACAGCAATGCAACTTATGATCACACAGACCACGGGAACATACGTAAGAGAAAAGACATTCATTCTGTCAGTGAGTAGTGAATGGGAGCCTGGGAACTGCATGTTTGGGAGAACTTTAAAAGGGACTTTTAAAGAAAGGGCACAGGCTTTCCCAGCACTGACCTGCCACCAGTAAAACAGAGTTTCCTGGCTTTTTACTACTACTAGTATCACCCTGTTTGAGAGCCTCAACGGTTTTCAACAGTATTAATTGCAAGCTGCTCCCAGAAGATACTAGGGCACAGATGAAAAGAGTGCTAAACACTTTTACAGGCTTTAGCCAGGGACCTGTGCTGTGGGTAATTTAATTAACAGTTCAGCATCCAACACATGACTGCAGCCAACTCCGATGCTGCAAGTCTTCAGCGCCTTGGAGAATGACCTATGAAAATTCCAGAAGAGAGAATACATCTCCTGGTGCTTACCGACTGCTCCTAGACAAGGTCACCAAATGGAATACCACTGTGCTTCCTCTCCTCATTATTCTTTGTCCATTAAAAGCCTTTTATTACACGAAGGAAGTGTTTCCCCAAAGATGTTCCTTAGTGGACTGAAAGCCACGCTGTACCACTGATCACCCAGCTGCAGCCATGCAGGCTCTAGGATGTTAAATTAATACTTGATGTGACTCAGAGGGGCCCTGAAACATGCTCTGGAACACCACAGTGCTTCCAGATATGTTCTAAAAGTTATCGCTGAACCAAGACCACTTACAGGAATAGATCGTATTGCTCCATCTTTTCAAGCGGATTTCACCAGATCCTGCTGACCCTTCCTCTTAAGGAGGAAAGACCAAAATACATCCCCCGGAAAAAAAAAAAAAAAAAAAAAAAAAAGGTGGAGGAGAGATTCTTTCTTGCTAAATCCTTTTTCTGCAAAACCAGAACTGGCTTTTTGAATCTGCATTCAGGCAGTTCTACTTTTGCCGAGTTCAAATAGGAAACCAATAGAAAAAGAGACAAACAGTATGAACAGCCTCTGTGGCTCCATAGAAGAGCTATCCACCAAGCTACCTGGGTTTGGCACATTTAAAGCAAGATGTGAAAGGAGAGTAGGTTGTTGAGTATTTTGCTTTACCTCAGGAGAACAACAGAAGGCTGTATGTCTGAGAAACATGGAACAGAAGAAAGTTACCTTGTCTTCTCCAACTGGCCTATTTGGTTTGGGTTTCTTTCTTTTCTTTCAACACTCCTGGACAGAACCACCATGACTCAACTACAGAAAAGATGAACTTAACGCTCCCTGTTTCTTGATGGTCATACAGCTACAGACTTTCCCAAGGCACATCAGCAGAAAGAAAAGGTGTGAGGAAGGACAGATTTGGACTATCACTGCTGCATGCTGCATCTAGAAACAACTCTGAAGTTTGGAAGAAGTTCCCTGTATCTTTCAGTATTGGTCATTTCAGGATGTATTTGGTAATTTCTGAAAAGCAGGCCAGCACCAGGCATGCCCACATGTACACACACACTCACTAGTGTCTTCTGAAAGGCAGAGGCAATGAGCAAATTCTGCTCCAGTTCTGTCCGTGCACATCCAAACTCGGTGGAGTTACACAGGCTTTTCACCAAGAGCAGTCTCTGCCCTATTTGCTGTATGAACCACACACAAAGCCCAGCTGACATCTTACTGGCACCAAGCTGAATGAGAACATGCCTATCATAGCTAGCATTTAGCACTATAGATACACGTGAATATGTATTTCAGAGTTACTATTGTTTTCTTTTCCCTCGGAAGAGAAGATGTTCCCCATCACCCAGCCCTCTCCACCTCATTTCCATCTGTCTGACACTGCATTAATGCTAAACCTCCAGCTGGATCCCACAGTATTGTCTTGAACATTTTGTTCCAGCAGAGCTGAACTCTCGGAGACTCCCAGATCTAAACACAAATCACAAGGCTTTATGTACATACAAGTGCAGCCTCTCAATAACAGCCTGTGCCCCTGGTACCGTGGCGGGCAGGCTGGAAATAGGGCCAGTTCATGGAAGGAGGCCAATTGCTGTGCTGTGGGGGTTTTGTTTTGGTTTTTAGACACTGCCTCTTTTCACATAGAGCAGACAACCAAGGGAGACTCATGAGAGGGGGTTTACTCCATAACTCCTAAAGAATTCCCAGACGGTGGTTCGAGGGTGGGAGCCCCCTCACGCTGTAACGGCACACAGCATTTTTAAAGCAGGATTCCTAGGGATGGCCAAGTGAACTGAAAGAACCCACAACACTTAAGTCACAAGTCCAGGGAGCCACATTTTTCCTCTCCTACAGTGAAATGTATGACAGCCTCTAGCTGCAACAGAAGCCAAAGCACAGGGGTAACTCAGAAAGGCCTGACCTCCAGCCCAGGTCAGCTAGACCAGCTCCCAGGGAAGTTACCAGAAACCACTTCCATCTATCAGGGCAGGTAGTTTCCTTGTGACTACTTCATGCAGACAGCGCAGCACCCTGCACTAAGAGTTAAGAGGGCTGTTCCAATACTTCACCCTCACCAAACATGGTAAGAGCCTCCCATGCTGGAAACTCCTCTGACCCAGTTAAAAGAGACAGTGACCCAGTTCTGTTATGACAGGAGTGAAGCCTTTCTGATTTTCTTGAACAAGAATCATCTCAACTAAACAGTTCAATTCTGTTTGGATCAGCCCTTTCACTGAAAAGAAACATGCAAAATTCTTTTCTATTGCCACAGACTTCCCCTTTCATAGCATCATTCATGACAGTGTATCTTCGAGTGCTTTACAAATTAAGAAAGCACATTTAATACTGAATAACTGCCCATATTCTTGCTTTCAAAGATAATTCTCTGCTTCTCAAACCAGAACGAGACCTTTCCAGAAATCATCTGCACTTTATGCGTGGCGCTTTTGAGGCAGTATTACTCCTAATAAGTAATGTACAAACTATTTCCCATTTACACTCAACTCCCTTTGTCACTTGAGTAGAAAGGTAATGCAAAAGTGCCATGAAATGCATATAAATGTATTGGAAAGTATCTCTGGTACTTCACAAAAAGATACCTCTCATGAAAGCTGACTGACAAACCCTTTGCGTAAGAGAATCAGGTGCTAAGTGACATCCATATCTCACTGCAACTACGAATATGACAACGGGAAAAGTCAGCCACAAACACAGACAGGAAGTGCCAATCACTGCACTTGTGTGCAAAACAAGAAAACAAAGTATTTGCTTCAAGTGCAATTTTTTTACTATGCTGGAAAGTTCTGATTTACACAAATCCTCAACCTGAAACCTCCCGATGATGCAGTTTTAAAATGAATTAGATCCATGAAGACTTCTCAAACCTTTCCTTACAACGCAAAGCAAAGAATGAGTTGGGGCAGGAGACAAATGAACAGGTTATACACAATTTCTTGATCCTTCAAACAGCCTTCACCAGCCATGTAACATCTGGCTGTTAGTACAGGTCACCCCACTGTGATCACCCACCCATACAGGCATCAGGGTTAGAGCACACAGAGCCACAATAAACCACAAACACCTCCTGACCTCAACACAAAGAGAATTCATCCAGACACTCCTGCCTCTACTGAAAAAAAAATCAATCAGGCTTTTTTCTTCTGTACATAGCACGTTGCTTGCAATCTGGGCAAGATATGTTCTGTACCCAAAAGAAATCTATTTCCCTCAAAACAACAATCAACAAAAGTTTGAATTTCATTTCCATCACTGAAATTAACTTTCCTTTCTCCAAACAATAATCTGAATATGGAGATAAACCTGTAAATAATGTGGGGTTTATATATACATAAAGGATTTTTTATAATTCACAAACCCTTGATACTAGCATGCTTGTTCACTTGAAAGGTAAAGCATATTTATTTTAAACCACACAAGCACAGAGCTTTAAGAACACACGCTTACAACATACTCCACCCTTGCAAACATTAACACGCACAAAATGGAGAAACCCCACATGAAATCTCTAAGTATGCTCCTGTGAATAAAGGTATGTGTCTGCCTAGAAGTCACATGAACAGAATAAAAATACATTTAAATATTTGAAAGAAACAATAATACATATATGGCTTAAGGAAATGAAGAAACCTACAACAGAAAGAGCACAAGGGATGGCCCTGCCAACGAGGGAATCACTGCACAGAGATGCTACCTTGGAATCTTGCGGGGGATTCAGCTGGAGATTGAACACTACCTGCTCACATGAAGCACTTCTAGTTTACAGCTTCTGTGGTAAAGTTCAAAACCAGAAGTGCTTCTGTAACCAAAGTGGACAACCCCCAGCAGCCTTCATCAAAAGTCTGGACTAAAAAACCTTGAGTGAGAGAGCAGAACTCTTCCAGGAAGTCTCAGCCGAGTCTGAGCTGAAAAACAGTTGCAAGGATGAGTCCCAGAGAAGGGACACAGAGATGGGCAGCTATGCAGAGAAGTCCACTCCTACAGGGATTTTGGCAGGTTTTTAGGGGGGAAGAATGAGCTCTAAATGTTTTATTAGTGTAATTAAACCCAATTATTTTATCACAGCACTCCCCTAAAATGTGTGAAAATCCATTGCATCTCTTGAACCCTTCAACTTGATAGGACCTGCGGAAGAGACAGGAGCCCTCTAGAAATTTCTAACAAACTCCTGTGAACATCAGTAATGCTAAATCCATTCTATACCAGCTTATGTTTCTTCATGTCACAAGCTCACTTTTTAATTTATTCTACCCACAATGTGTGCAGTGAATACGAGGAGATTCTAGAGATGAGTGTAAACACGCTGGCCAAAAAGCACAAGCTAAAAGACGTCAGAACAGGAGGAAGCACAGTTGTTTATTCAGATCAGAGCTTTTGACAGGTTTCTATCTGACCTAAACTTGCCTTGCCAATACAGTAGACTAAAATCTAAGATTGCTCGCTCTGAGCAGGGACAGATGTTATCTGATAGCTGTCATTATACAACTGACTCATATCACCTGAGAAGACCTGCAAACTACAAGGCTGGAACATTTATTACAAAGCACTCAGTACTCGCACACGTCTGTCTGTCAACAGCTTCAACCCAAAAATGGAGGCCTGTGACAACCCAAAGCAAAGAGGCTTTTTTTTCTTTCTTCTTTTCAATAGACAGGACAACTGAACCTGGATGAAATACTGGCAGAGCTCAAGAGTAATGGCCAGAAACCCAAACCCAATGTCACTAATTCTTCACATAGCATGTGAGTATATCTATAGTAAAATGAGCAACGTGTGGCTGGATGGGCACCAACACCACCACAGATCAGTACAGTAGCTCAATCTAAGGTCATGGCCATATCAAGACACCCTGAGCCACAGCACATCATGGTTTGCAAGAAGAGCATATCAGGCAACCTTACGCCAATGTTTTTCAGTTTCTGTCAAAGAAAATGCTCCCTCAACAACACAGGTTTGCTATAGTCTCCACTGCAATGCTCCTGCCCTTCCTCTGTGTAAAAGACTGAATGAGATGAGGATCATATCCTTCTTTCCCCTACAAACTGGAAACCCTCCCAGCAGCACTGTGGTAGTGATGGAAAGAGGAAGTTTTCCTGGACACCACAAGAGTGACACCCTGGAAACAGTGCTTGTGCAACCTCCTTGCAGGTCTCTGTGCTGCTGAGCCCCCTGTCAAAGCCCAGATGTCAGGAGTCAAAAATAAAACTGTAACATAATGTTTCATCATGATTTCTTCCCTTCTCCCTCAGCACTAAGAGCTGCATCACAGGATCTCACAAAATGCTCTGCAGAAAATAATACATACTTAGTCTAACAGGAGCCTTCTTAGGCCCCATCCCCAAAGTGCTACCAAAAGGGCTGCATGCTCAGAATAAGTACACCTTTCTTTTAACACAGTGCTAATTAGAGAAGGAGAAATTGGGTTTGCCACTTTCTCTCCAAAGGATGTCAACAGCTTTTGGGGACAACACTCCTTGTCTCTGTCACTACCTCAATTCAGAGCAACCACAAGCCCATAATGAGTTGCCAAGATGAGGTAATGTCTTAGCACCTTTCATACATATTCATAAAGAAACAACAATTCTCAGCAATAATACAACCCTGTATATATGCAAAATGCTTCACAAAAATCCTCTTTAAGACCCCTGTTGGGCAGGGAGGTAAATATTACTAGTCCTGTTTCACAGAGAAGTGAAGTAACGTGCCCAAGGTCACCCAGTGAAATGGTGTCAAGATCTGAGACTATAAAAAAATTCTCTTGCCTCAATCTTCTGCCCTACCCACTAAAGCAGCCTTACCTCCCTGCATCTTCAGTAATAACAATAACACCACCCATGAACAAGTTATACCTAGCAAACACCAAGTAATTTCAGAGGAGGAATGAATGAACTCTTGTGTAGCTAATTCCAGAAGCTGATCCAGTCCAGGCCTGCCCATGAACAGAAGGAAATTCTTTCACATGAACAGGAAGAAACAAAAATAAAGAAAGAAAGAAAGAAAGAAAGGAGGACAGACAGAAATGAAGAGCTACATATGGAGTAAAGCGTTGTAAGCTCTGCATAGGAGATAAAACAGATTGATCACACGTAGAACTGAGCTGCCTGAACACGGACACAACTTATACATAAATTTCTTGCTAACCTGACTTACCCTGCAGAGCCTCCAAGGTGTGCTTGTGGCTTTAAATATTTTCTTGTTGCTGCTTTGAAGGCAAGAACAGACATGATCTCCAAAGCATCCACTGATATGCAGTTGGGGCAGGGGGGAGGGAGGAGGAGGAGGTGAATACTGTAGCTAGCTGAGAACTGTCAGATCGTGTTTGCCATCAAGGAATGCCATTTCCCAATGCCTGAGTTTAACTCTGGAATGAGATGCACGCTGCTGCTGACCCCTCTGCTGACATTCTATAGACTCCCTTAACTCATCAGCCCCTGAGCATCCCATCCTCACTC